TCCCAGCCACACGTGGCCACCCTGCACCTCACCCCAGCTCCCCATCTCTGTGTCTGAGAGCAGCCCTTTCCCGAGCCTTCTCTCGGGCTGCCAGCCAGTCCCTGCCCCGTCATACTGCTCATCTCTCCAGAACGAGCTGACTGAGCTCAGCTCTGGGCCCTGCTCTGGGAGGGGGGCCACCAGCAAAGTCCCTGCCCACATGGTGCTAGTGGGGACCACAGCTGTAAGACAGGGACAAAACCCCGTCATGCATTAGGCACGACGGGGGTGATTTTATTTGAAATAAACTTTATTTTAAACATTTTTAGATTTACAGAAAAGTTGCAAAGATATTAAAGAGTTCCCATACCCCACCCCCAGTTTCCCCTACTGTGAATACCTTGCATTAGCATGGTGTATTATTGATGAACCAATGTGGATAGGCTGTGACTGACTAAAGCCCGTACTTTATTCGGAATACCTCCAATTTTTCCTCATGTCCCTTTTCTGCTCCAGGATCCCATGTTCCACTTAGTTGCTGTGTCCTTGGGCTCCTTCGGGCTCGGTTTCTTAGACTTCCCTTGTTTTCGATGACCCTGATGGTCCTGAGGCGTTCTGCTCAGGATTTTGTAGGATCTCCCTCTACTGGGATGTCTGATGTTTTTCTCATGATTAGATGCATTCTGGGTCTTGGGGAGGAAGCTCACGAAGGTGAAGTGCCTTTCTCATCAAGTCATATCAAGGGTACGTAGTATCATCATGACTAATCACTGTTGATGCGGACCTTGATGGCCTGGCTGAGGTCGTGTTGGTCAGGTTTCTCCGTTGTGAAGTTACTGCACCCCCCTTCCATACCACACTGTTTGGAGGGAAGCCCACATGTAAGGAGTGGACATATACGCCCCACCTTACATCAATTATTTGGAATTCTGCCCAGGAGATTTGTCTCTTCACCCCCATTTACTTATGTATTCAATCATCCATTAAATCAGTATTCTACCCACCCCATTGCCATCAGGTCAATTCCGACTCATAGCAACCCTACAGGACAGAGTAGAACCGCCCCATAGGGTTTCCAAGGAGCAGCTGGTGGATCCGAACTGCCGACCTTTTGGTTAGCAGCCAAGCTCCTAACCACTGCACCACCGGGGCTCGGATACCGTGGGTTATAATACTTGGTTGCTCACGTTGCCCCAGCTGTGGCCACTGCGAGCCCTTTCGGTGTCTCCTGTGTCCTTTGACCCCCGTTAGCGCAGGCTTTTTGATGCAGGCTCATCTTGTGTCTCCCTCGCCCCAGCCTGAGGCTCGGCCATTTCTCCAAGGAGCACTGGTTGGTTTTATCGGAGAACGATACTTGAAACCCAGATCTGGGTGCTAGGTGGGCTCGTTACTGCTGGGCCCTTGCGTCAGGCCTCTCGGGGGACAGAGCAAGAAAAGATACACCTGTGTGTTAACCCACGTGTATGCACATATCTCTACATGTGACCATCTGTATCTGCGTCCAGCTGAGCATGCGTTCACACTGCTGTCTCCAGCTCTAGTCCACAAGGCACAAGTCCTTCTGGCCTCCTTCCTGGCTTGTCTGTAACCTCCCACTCCAGCAGTGAGACAGCCAGCTCCCACCAGCCGCCGTCCACCTAAGGAACTGTTCCATCCCCACTGCATGTACAGCAGTACCAGAATTGCTAGTTTTTGCTGCTGATGGTGTCTTGGGTGTGGGGGCAGGAGGCCTCTAGGAAGTGGCCTATCAGAGAGAGGCAGTCGCAGGGAAGTTCTGAGCTTGTGGGTCACGTTTGGGCAGGAATGAGCCTGGCCTGTGCTGGGAACAGCAAGAAGGGCAGAGTGGCCAAAGTGAGAATGGGGAAGGGGCAGGGGCAGGTTACCAGGCGCTTTGTGGGCCCAGGCAAGACCTTGGAATTACTCCAGAAGTCATAGGTCATGGAAAGGCTGTGACAGAGATCAGTGGGCATTTCTAAGGCGCTCCCCTGGCTTGTGTGTGGAGCGGGTGCCACTGGCCCAGAGGTGATAGAGGTTCACCTCCTTCTAAGGTTCTGCCATAGGCACTCCCTCTCCGGAGCTTGAGTCAGCAAGCTTTCTCCTCTGCTCAGAACCAGGACACGGGGCACTGGAGGAAGGGAGAGAGGAGCTCACTCCCCTACACCTGCAGCTCGCTGGTGTCCCCTACTCAGAACCACCTGCCTCCAGGAGTCCCTCCCTGACCCACCCTCTCTTATCTGCTAAAGCTTCTTCCAGGGCTGACTGCACCCAGGCAGGGCTCCCCAGGGCCAAGCGTTGTTCCTCAATCCTCAGGGCCGGTTCAGTGCTCTGCTGGGGCTCTTCACAATCACATTCGGTGATGTCAGCTGGTAGCTTCAAGCAGCCACAGTGGGAGTATTTACACCACAGCAATTAGCAAAGGCTGCAGACCAAGGCTTTCCTCCCTGGAAAGCCGATTGTTAAATATTTACCAGCACACCACTGGACAGTCTCCTCCCATCATTTCTCCCACGGTGTCTACCTAACCCTAGGGCCTGCCCAGTCTTGGGCAAGGAGAGAAGAGACTGGGGGACTTTCGGACCTAAGACCCTCAGAGGCCTGCGGGGAGGGACTGCTCTGTGATCCCGTTTCTGGGTCTGGGCCCAGTGGCCTCTGCCCTGCCTCTGTCACCTGTGAGGGGACTATCGAGGTCAGTGATGGGACAGGTCCTGGAGAGCTGAGGTGAGACCTAAGGAAGAACAGCCAGCCTGTCAGGATGATGAGGGAGTCTGGAGCCACCCCAGGGATGACCTCAGGTCCCCTTCCTGCATGTCCTTACCCGAGGCAGAGGGATGAAGAAGATGGTCCCTGGAGGGCTGGGGGAACACCGGTCTGTGTCTGTGTGTCTGTACACGTGTGCATGTGTGAATGGTAACTGTGTGTGTCTGCGTGTGTGTTTATGACTGCGCATCCGTGTGTTGCATGCGTGAGTGTGCATCTCTGGGGGGTTGAGTGGTGACTGTATCTGCGTCTATGAGTGTGTCTGTGTGCACGAGTGTTTGCGTGTGTGTGCACGTGTGTGCATGTGTGTGCATGTTTACGACTGTGTGCATGTGTGTGCACGTGTCCGTGTCTGAGTGTGCGTGTCTGTGTGCACGAGTGTTTATGACTGCGTGTGTGTGAGCATGCTTTCTGTGAGGTGCCTGTATCTGCGTCTGAATGCGTGTCTGTGTGCGTGTGTGTCTGAGTGTGCGTGGGTGTGTGTTAGCATGCTTTGTGTTTGTGAGTGGTGCCTGTGGGGGGCTGTGCACAGATGTGAGGAAGTGGGGCCATTTCCACAGGAACTCTGACTGCCCCCTCTTCCTGCCCAGGGAGGGGAGAAGATTCCAGCTGCATAAAGAGGGCGAGGAGCCTGGCGGCCTATGCCTGCCTGCATCTCCTGCTCTGCCTCACACCTGCCCACTGCTGCCCATTGCCCGCCTGCTGCCTCCCAGGCCTGGTCCGGGAGGGAGGGGACCAGAAGTGTCAGTCGCTCAGGGGTCCCCTGGCCCAAACCCACCGAGGAGCAGGTATCGGCCCCAGGGCTGGCCTCCAAGGGAGGAAGGGGTGGGGGCAGTTCGGAGACCACAGGTCTGCAGGTGCAGAGGAGCCCCTTGGGCACATCCCACCGAGGGAGTCAGCTGGCGGAGGGTGCTGACCTGGGAGGTGGAGTTGCCCAGGCACCGTGATATGCCCCCAAGGCTGGTCCGAGTGTCACAGGTGCTGTGCTGACTGGATGTGCCTGTGACTGCATGCGGCTGCGTGCAGCTGAGTATGCTCAGGTGTGACTGCACGTGTGCGTGACTGTGTGTGCGTCTGTGCCTCACTGGATACGGTCCACCCTGGACAGACACCCACGCCCAGCCGGGAGCCCGTCCAGGCTGAAGGCTGCAGAGGGAGGGTGGGCTGGGACCCTGGGAGAGGAGCAGCAGCAGCCAGAGGCGCTGAGGAGCCCGGAGTTCCTGGGCACCAGGAAGGGCAGCCGGGCAGTCTCGGGGCTGGGGGGGTGCAGAGGAGGATGGGGATCGTTTCTGGAGATGACCAACCAGAGCTCTGTGCAGGGTGTGGAGGAAGACAGGGCTGGAAGAGCTGGGGTGCTTGAGGTCTGGGGTGCTGGAGAAGTTGGGGTGCTGGGAGAGCTGGGGCTGCAAGGGCTGGGGAACTTGGGGACCAGAGGGCAGGGCTGCAGAGGGGCTGGGGTGGCTGGGGGGCTAGAGCCTGGGGGCCAAGCCTTGGGCAAGCACGTGGGGTGGGGGCTCACAAGATGCAGGAACATGGCTTAGTGGTGGTGGGCACCTGTCCAGCGAGCTGGGCCAGGCTCAGGTAGGGCTGAGAGGCAAGTGACCAGGTGGGCTGGGGGTGCATCTCAGGCTGAGGCCATGCAGCGTCCACAGACTGAGTAAGGCTGGCGGCAGTTTCCCTGTGTGCCCCAGAAAGGCAGCTGCTGGGCTCACCCTGTTCGCCTCTAGGCTGTGTGGCTCAGTGCCTGAGGTGGGGGTCCCTAGAGCTGGGAGAGGGCACTGCTGATATTGCCAGGCTTTCTTGGAGGGGCCCTGCTTCTCTGAGCCGCAGGGCTTGGGAGCTTCAGGCCTGGGGTGGGGCCCCGGGGCAGGGTGCTCCACTGGAGATGAGGCGGTCTGTGTGTCTGTCCTCTGGCAGAGACAGCTGCCTCTCCCTATATCCCAAGGGCAGGGTTAGTACCTGGGGTGGAAGCAGCATGTTCCAATCCTAGCAAAGGCTCCCTCTTTTGGTGTGAGGTGGTGAGTTCCCCACCACCAGGGTTATGTAAGAAAAGACAGGTGGGCCCTGCTGGGGGCAGCCTGGGGGTCAGCCTGGAGGGGCTGGGTGAGCTGAGACCGAAGGTCCTTTCCCACTGGAGGGCTGGTTCCCAAGGATCCGCGGTCTGCCTCCTGTGGGTTCTGGGGCTGCATGCTGGAGGGGCGGCTCCAGGGCTCCGCAGGCCTCCAGCCGCGCTGACCGCCCTTCTGGCCCGGTCTCAGGTCCCGCCCGCCCGCCCCTATGACCAACATGAGCTGGAGCTTCCTGACGCGGCTGCTGGAGGAGATCCACAACCACTCCACCTTCGTGGGCAAGGTGTGGCTCACGGTGCTCATCGTCTTTCGCATCGTGCTCACAGCGGTGGGCGGTGAGTCCATCTACTCCGACGAGCAGAGCAAGTTCACGTGTAACACGCGGCAGCCAGGCTGCGACAACGTCTGCTACGACGCCTTCGCTCCGCTGTCCCACGTGCGCTTCTGGGTCTTCCAGATCGTGGTCATCTCCACGCCTTCCGTCATGTACCTGGGCTACGCCATCCACCGCCTGGCGCGGGCCTCCGAGGAGGAGCGGCGCCGCGCCCTCCGCCGC